ATTTATATTAACTAAACTTATAAAGTTTTAATAGTTTAATAAGAAGAATTAAAGGAACTTACTTATAGTATACTCTTTAAGAAGATAGCCTACTCTTATTTAAAAGTCGATTATAAGTCTTAAATATAAATAGCTTATATACGTAACTTATCTAGTATATTTATAACTAAATCTTTATTACTTACCTTAGAAAGTCTAAGATATTTAGCTTATTTTATATTAAGTACTATTAATAACTTACTTTTTAAATAAGTACTTTAAGAATAAGAATCTATTTAAATAAATATAAAGTAAGAGTAAAAAGTCTAAGGTATCTTAAAAGTATATCTTAAGTAAGATAAGACTTTATAATATTAAATTAAATAAAAAAAGCTTACTTTTAACTCTAAATTCTATCTTACTAAAGACTTTATAACTTATTTATATAAGCTTTAGGATTTTTATTAAGCTAACCTTATAGAACTAGTACTACTTAAACTACTTCTTAAGTAGCTAACTATATAAGAAGCAGAGAATAATAATATATATAATAAACTAGTACATAATACTATAATATTTAAGATAAATCATAAAAAGTTTTTCTATAGCTTAGAGATAAGCCTTCCTTAAAGAGAGAAGTAATATAATAAACTGATTATAATAGGCTAGTTATATAAGTAAAGCTAATATTATAAGGCTAACGTTATAAGGCTATGAAGCTAAAGTTATATAATAAACTTAGAACTAACTTAGTTTACTAGTAGTTATATCTCTCTTATTTATTTTTAAAGCTCCTTAAGAATCTCTTTCTCTTATTATCTTTTTTATTTTATATTATAGCTACTAATAAATATTTATTATATTATTATACTAGTATTTAATAAATTATTTATCTTTTTAGTTATTTAATCTATAATTTCTAAAGTGAAATATATAGTAAAAAATAATATAAGATTATTAATATTAATATCTTTAGGTATCCGGATCTTAGTAAAGTAATCTAGTAAATTTATTAAGTAATAGGTATTATTATAGGTTTTAAAGGTATAATATCTGATCTTTAAGTACTTATATTTATAAGATTAGCCTTTATATCCTCTAATATTATAATAATAATAAAAACAATGATTTTAAGTAAGAAATAGAGCTTTATTTATATATTAATAATACGCTAGGTTTTAGTGTTTCTTTAGAATAACTATTATTTCGCTTCGGGACCTATATTAATTCTAATGGCAGCGTAACAAATAAAACAGAATATATATTATATAATAATAAAACATCGTTAATTAAGAAGTCTTTAAACATATTATTATTATAATATAAGTTCTTATAAAAGTATAATAATAATATATCTATTTATAATATATATATTAGTAAAATAGAGGCTTTAAGTTACTCTTTATTTTATAACTACTTATAAACGATTACTTAAACTCTAAAAGCTAACTACTTATAATATTAATCTCTAGTTTTATTATTACTCCTAGACTTATTTATATAGATGATTTAATTAACTATAGTTTATTAATATTAATACGCTTATTTGAGCTAAAGCTTTTAATTTGTCTAATCAGCTATTACTCTTAATATCTTTCGTATAAACATAATTTTTTATAAGATATTATAAACTATAGTTCTAATAATATCTATATTAAATATATTCTTTAAAAACTCTATAATCTTATCTTAATATATTTAAAGCCTCTTATCTTAAAGTAGCTTAATTAACTTTTTTTATTTCTCTTATAATAACTTTTATTAGCTTCTTAGAACAAGGTAAAGTATAGAGATCTTATTTAACTCTCTTTTTATAGTAATATATTATTTATTCTATAGTTTTATAAGTGTTAATAACTGATTACAAGTAAAGTCAGTTAAAAACTACTCTTATATTATAAGGTACCTAGAACGCGGGGAGTAAAGAGATAATATTATATTAACTAAAACTTAGAGAGAGTTTTAGAGCTTAAGAGACGTATAGCCTTTAAGAGCTGTAGCCCGAAATAGCAAGAGCCTCTAACACCTTAGAATATAAAGTGTATCTTTAATTCGTACTATAATATTAATATATAAATAAGAAACTATTTATATAACTTAAATATTATATTATTAAAAAGATTAATAGTTAAGCTTTAATTTAAGTTACTTATAGTATATTTTAAAGGTAATTTAATAGTATAGTATTAAAAGGCGCAAATATAATAAATAATAGAGATAACGCGATTTCGCGATTTTATTAAGGCTCGGTAAAGTCACGTTTAAAGCTAGTTACTAACATTACTATATAGGTCACGTGTGCTGGCTTTAGCGACTGACCCGCGGATTCTAACTAGTTAGTGGAACAGCTGTAACTAAGACTTAGTTAGCCCGCCCGACACTTGCTAAAAACTTCACCGAGAAGTGTCCTTACAGAACTATACCAAATCTACCAATTGACACCTGGAATAACGAATAATAGATGGCTTCGTCAAGGCTGCACGAAACAGATGCAGATATGTTTCTTGATACTGTTGTGACTTTTCCAGACGGCTCACGCTATGAGCGGCTCGAGCCGATCACAAACTTCAGGAAAGACGATGACACCGCGAGGATTTTGTATCGTTGTCGAAGAAGAGCAGACGGGTTACTACAAAGCGAAGGATGCGATGATATATATGTTATGAAAGTCAAGTTTCAGTATGCCAATTGTCATCACGCATATATAAAACTAGACATTCATAGCAACTTACTATTGAATAGGGTTCCTAGTGTAGAGTTCAAAGAAGCCGTAGAAGGTCCAAATCCAGAGACATTGGCAGAGTTACACGCATTAGAAGCTTTTGCTACAAGAAAACAGGGTTCGGTACCGCATCTGGTAGCATGTAAGTGTGCCTAAAACATGAAATGTTCCAACTTGGGATGTGTCGGGATCTTGGAGAGACGCACGTCCATTCGCCTCCTAAAACCCCACATCTGGCTGCTGGCTAATGTACTTGTCATTCAGGGAAGGAAACGACCCAGGGAACTGGCGGTCTCTTTCCGGGGGGCTATTTGGTGATTACTGTCATGACTCTTATGCCCGGAAAGACACTTCTCGAGCTCGGTTTCTGGAGCCTGAAATCAGATGAACAAGACACGATCCGGAATGCGTTTTTAACAACGCTAAAGTAAGATCTATACTGTTCCATACGACCAAACGGCTGATCGACACTTAAAGTGACATCTGGCGTTGTGGCTTTGTGCCCTATGATCGCGCGCTCCGGAATATATTGTGGGAAAAGGAGACGAAGCAGTGGTAAGCTACGAGAGCAATAAGACAGCCGCGCAGTATTTTGTCTAACTCAGTACTATTTGGTATAGCTCGATCGTGGATTTCGAGCATTACCATGTGAGAATTGATCCGATATGCATGGACGAGAAGGATGAGATGGCGCAGTGGGGTATTTTACAGCGACCCGCGCTGAATTGGTACCAAGAATGGGCTCGCTCGGCTCCCAAGAAGCCTCGCTGATACCCGTCCTTGAACGCTGTGTGCGAGTGGCACCTATTGTGGCAGGACTACGTACCTGTAAGTTCTGCTGCTATGTGTTCAAGTATGGCGAAGACTGTAGTACCCACCCGTAAAGGGAGGCGAACGAAAATAACACAGAGGGTACCGTTTACTATTGGGCCATACTGTTAAAGTCTTAGGAACCCGCAGATACGAGTTTGACATTCTCCTCTGGGTCAGACCTTGTTCATTCATTTCATGTGCCACCACTGGCAACGGTAGAACGAAAGCTATACGAATCGTAGAGCAATAGCTCAACGACACAATCTTCTGCGCTAGTGTGTAGAACCCCGTCTGTATGCTTCACTTTGAACAACCCGCCATGACAACGTCATTTGATCGAGTGGTGCCTTCCCTTCCCTATCCGTCACAATTGATATCGAGGATCGACTTCCGGAAATTTGGGTCCTAGAAAAGGTCGCTAACATACCCAAGGTTGGAAAAAGTCCGTAGTCACTGCTCAATCTGCAATATTGTTGCTGAAAAAATGTAAGAACTGTCTGAGTCCCCTCCTTCTTACTACTTTGCTTGCACCTATTGTCGTGTTTACAGCAACTCGACACAACATACTTTCAAGTAGAGGAACCAGAGTATATGATTCGACCCAGGGATGAACACCGACAGCATTCAGGAATTCAAAAGTAAACCACATGATGTCCAAAACATCACAGCTCTATACGCAGTCAGACAAGGGTCCAAGGGGTATTTTGGATTTCTGTGTCCGTCCATCCAGGGCTGATGCCAAAGCAAGTATAGAGAAACCAGCTTTGGATACGCCACAGTGTCGTTGCCCCCAGAAAGGGGCAGTCTATGTCTTGTCTTCCATACTGATCCCCAGTAGTATGCGTGCCAGGATACTAACGCATCAAATATAAATACGACTATTGAGGGGTCAGTGCTGCGCGTCCGGTTTTCGTATGTTTGCGGTGCTTGGGATTGTGTTTGAATAAAACAATCTGCAGTGAATATAGTTGAAAATTGGGAAAAACTATACTGTATTTCGGAATGCTGGTCAGTGGCAACACGATTAGACGTAGTCTTGTCGCATGACAGTGCCGCGATGTTTTATTCAATGTAGAATAATACAAAGGTAAAAACAACATCCAGAACACAAAGAACGCTACTCATATTGCGACATTCAGACAAGCCACTCTCCTTGACCCCAAAGCACCTAACGATAGAAGAAGCTGAATTGCAATGAGCATTGGCAGCTCTATGATACGGTACTAGAAGAGTGACTTGTCTCCTCTAGCTTAGACTGGCTGTCCATTCAGGAACGTAGAGCATCAACGGGGTATTTTCTATTCAAGAGAGTGTTTGCTCCGAGCGAGAGGCTGCTCGTCAAGTGAGGACGAAGCTACATGCTGTTATAGGTATCGCTGTACTGTGACATTGACATTCGTTTGGTCCAACACCAATGATCTGTCATACTATATCAGCATTGTAGGAGTCAATTGGTCGTTGTTAACCAGTCAGGTCATCTCTTGGATTATGTGACGTGGGCCCACAAAGGTGGTCGTTGAGATGATGGAATAAACCAACCTTCGACTTGCTGGGTCAGATTTCTCATCCCTTCCAGATTTGTCTCGCCTCCTGCTTCCCACTAGACAGATAATCAAGCATTCAGTACCAATTACCAAGCTCGCTCAATACATGCCGGGATCTGCTTACCACTAACCACTAATTGGATGAACAGTTAGTACATGTCTTTACCCAAGCGTGACATCAAGGAAACAAACATTGTAACAAGATACAAACCTATAAGACCTCAGTTATCACTTACGTTTCCAACTGCCAAAGCAGCGTACTTCTTCGTCCTGTGAACGTTTCCCCAAATACAGTACCACAAAGCCGTTACCATGTATGCCTCTGCCAGAGCTCCGTTCAGACCTTCTTCCTCGTACAGTGAAATGAGCTCAAGAGCCATATCTGGGGTAACATTTCGATAGTTTTCAGCAGTAAACAGAAACAAATATTTTCGTAACACTGCAATACGCTGAAGGCGAGTATCAGATATGTTCCTAAGCTGCTCAGGGGAGGAACACAGTCTGCACTGGCAGTCAAATCCCCAGTGCTCTTTAATGTGATGCTGTCGTGCTGCATATATCTGCTTCTCGTCGATATACGAGAATGTGAGTTCTTCACCCGGCTCAATGGTGCGGGTCGCGTGGACTTTGTGCACGAAAGTACGTGAATCGAACGCAAAGCGTGCCTAGGGAATGCGGCATGCCGAAGTCAGTTATCGAAATAAGCGGTGTTGAAGTACTCCTTATCCCAAGGTAAAGAAAGCAGTCTCCTACATACGTTTGGTCGGCAGTCATGATTTAATCGGGCTGCTTCTGGAACTACGATACCAAAGCTCTCTTGTGAAACACCGAACGTGGCACTGAATCCGTTCGTTAGAAGAATATCCTCGGTTTGGTCTCCACCGAAGTGACCAGCAAGATCGTAAAAACGCCCTCTCGATCGTATTGGTAGGGCTGAGATGGACAAACGTTGCAACAGCAGCCTATCCGCCCTGTTCATATCAATCATTGCTCGTTCTTGGATCATGAAAACAGGTGTTGACGACAAGATCAAATCACCCTTCTTGAATGTATAGTTGCTAATGAGCCCCTTCCCTCTTCCTGGTAAAGCCTTCTCAAAGAAGTGGTCTCGCCTTTCAAGCTCATGAAGGGGATCTAAAGCCGATAGTGCACTGCGAACATTGGAAGCAACCGAAGGAGATGCAATAATGGCCAGACCTATAGAATGATGATCAGCGGACGTTCGTATCAGGTTTTACTGCAATGCAAAGTCTGCAATGGGAGACTGGCGGGCAAGGTGAAATTTGTTCCGAAGGAGCAGAACAGTTCTTACCACGACCACGTGCAAACCCGGAAAACACGTAGAGACAGTAGACCGAGGAAGAGCCTCCGGATTTTATGCAGTCTCGCTGGTAGCTGGGCATACCAATGGAGAAATCTCCGTCCACCTTTAATTCTTTTGGGCATATTTTGCTCTCTTTAGATTCGGATATCCAGAGTAGATCGAGATGGAAAACAGTCTGTAGCGGTGCTGGGCACCATGTGTCAAAGGATGGTCTCGGTGCTGACTCTGAGCTTTGAGGCAGAAGAGGTACTTCATGCCTATCGGCAAACACTTGCGCTAATAAAAGAGATGCTCCAACAAGAAAACGTAGGGCACTCATTTTGATTGTCTTAAATGTTGTCGGCGACTAATTGCCGGTTATGTGGGCGGCAAGGCGAATGCTTATAAACACAGCGGATGGGGATCTGTGCATGCCTAGCCCGTGTTTCACGACGGCACACGGAAACAAAACTGCAACAGAAAGGGAGCGCTGCTCGCTGGAGAAACAAAGTACTCAGACAGCCAGAGTCCGTTGATGCCCCCAATCTCGAGATATGCAGACAGCTATTGCCGCCGCTGCTCGGGCTTACTAAATGTGGAATTTCCGTCGAGGAGTGCTGATATTGGCAGTTGATTGAAGAATACATTTGTCCACCGAGAACCACGACTGCGACTGTTAATGGTTTCCACCTAACAGTCAACTAAATTTGCAGAGCGGTGGTCGTGCTACTCGTCATGAATCTTGGACAGGTTGCACACAGCAAGCGACAACGGGAAAACCCAAGACTCACATACAGGAGGGAAGATAGCAGTCCCAGGAATCCTTTCAGATTCCTCCGTAAGCCCACAAACCCATAAAGCGTTTGAGTCGGTGGAGATGATCAAGCATCGATTTGAAAATAATTCAAAGCTAATGTGATTGATTGTAAACCCAAACGAAACCGACAGACTACCTCCCAACTGCTATACAACAAGCCCTATCTTTGGACTCTCACCAAGTTCTGTACTCGCCGCCAAAGCGCCATATATCCTGAGAGGAACTGCTATTTCAAAACTTTCGCATTCCAGGGCCTCCACAGCAGCGAGAACAAGGCCTCTGTCATCTCTTGTCACCTCCTCTACAAGGTCCACATATCCTAGCTCTGCGTTATGCTCTCGGAGCACCCTTGGAGTCACAAATTCGATACGCAGTCGCCACTCCAAACTCACGCTACTAGTGATGAATTCAGGAGTAGCCGAGGAGGGAATAGTAGGCGAGAAAACAACTCTGCGAGCAAACAAGGCGGATTCGGAATGAGCAGCGTGGACTTTGCGTGTGACCCGAAGAATGCTCGCCTCAGATCGTAGGGAGATTGTACTATCTACCTTCTCGGATGTCTCCAATGATGCATGTATCGCATAGCAGGGTATTTCGGCATCCGAGAAATCAATCGCAGCCGAAATAGTCTCTCCAAGTCGATATGCGGGTCGTGCGAGCATGACAACCGCGACACGCCTGCCACTTCGAGCGATCTCGAACCTATTGGCGCTTTGTCTAGTGTCAGTCACGATATTACTCCGTAGAATGGCCATGTCTATAGCCTCCTTCGCTGTTGCACCCCCTGGAATGGAAGATTGGCGACCCGGTATTCGTACTTCAGTCGGAGAAAGCAAACCAGCGCTAGAATTTTGTCGTG